TCAATCTAACACTTACTGCTAGAGTATATTCAATCTTTTTAGGATGCCAAGACATCAAAAGATCAAATATTTCAAGATGATAATGGCAGAATATACTCACAGTAAAAGAGCTATGGTTTATGATCAGCTATGGCAGCAAATTCAAATTATGCTGCTTACTGTAGCAGAACATGGAGAATTGATGGTTGAGAATGAGATTGTACAGTATACCCATAGAGACACTTGAACCCAGTTTATAAGCTTAATTCCTTGTGACAACATCAGCCATACCACAATAGCCATAATTGTGATCACAGTGTCAAACACCCTACAAACATACCAGTCAGGCTGCATATCTGATGTACATGTAGTAAATTCTGCCTACCACAGGAGTATAACCTAGCCAATGATATTCACTATAAGACCAACCCTGCAGCTTCTAAGATAGAACAGTACTTACAGAGTATCTGATTGTTTTAGAATCTTCAGGATAGTGCCACAAGTAGTACAGCACCTGGCCGCATGCAATACCATAGAATCTAAGTTGTAGTCGTGAATATTCAAGACCAATGGCTTTGAGAAAACGGGGCTTACTGGGTTGCAATGACTATTCCGACAAAGAACGGACCGATATTGCTATTGACATGAAGATCTGGCCCAGTCATGCGTTAAGTAGTGGGAAGTCTTACGAAAAAATGGAGTGTGGAGACCGAAGCCTTCTGATATATATATTATGGGGCATAATCCATGACGGTTTTCGGGTTCGCGTAGTACCCGGTGCAAGCATTGTCCTGATTGCAGGCGCAGCACATTGATCTCCAAGTGGGCAATGCTAAGTATGGAGCAGCGACAATACTTGACATGCTGCCATATTGCGAGGGACACGGACGTCAGGCGCGACAGAAGTCGACCTCACGACATTGACATCTATATCGTGTTCATATCAATCATCAATTTATAGCGAGATTTGGGGCTCACTGCACCTCATACGCTCTGTTCATCCATGATCGCAACAATAACAGTAATCAATTAAATCTGCGATCGAAAGACATATTGTTGCACTTCCGAGCACAGGCTGAACAAAACTTCCATCCGAGACGGTTTAGTGCCGTGCCGCAACGACAAGGAACGACAGGTGGGATCTGTCTGTAACGAAGAAAAGATCGGACAGTTTTTGTCCCAAATAAGTACCGACTCTGGCATTACGCGCGAAAGCTTCGTACCGCGTCATGAGTAGTACTTGGAGTCGCTCGTACCCGGGTAAGAATGAATATGGTACCTCAGGCCAAGGCCTAGGCAACCGAAGACACTGCCAAGTCCATGCGGAGGCATCAACAATGTCAAGTAGATAACACAACTGAACAATACCCGAGATGTCCCTCTATATGAAGACAGTGGGTCCATGTCGTCGTTCCTACCGTAAGACTGAATTGCGGGAAATCCCGAGAAGCGCGTAACTTGTAGAGCATGCATGAAATGTGCGCTTCCAGTCTAGCAAGACAGTCAGCATCATCGATGTAGTTAGGAAGAGTCAATGCAACAATATCGCACTGTCAATATGCGTACTTGACACGACACGGTCCGTCCGATTGCTGCTTCAAATTTGAAATGATGTACATTAGGATGTACACTCGACGGTGACCAGTCATGGGAACAAGGAAATGTTGAACGGACTAAATTGATTACCTATCCAGTAGCAACAGAGGATGCATATGGAAAGACAGTACTTCAATGTCCGCTCGCCTATATGACCTTGGGTCGCAGCAAGGCAGAAATTCGTTAAAAGACGGCCACTGCGACTCCAATGGCGAGTGGGGCCGGTGTCAACAAGCACGGTGCGACGAAGGACAACCAATGTGAAGTCACTGGAAAGTTACGATGCTAGCAGTACACGCTCAGTGCTCACTCTCTCAAGAGACCAATCGTGAGTCGTACTTTCTCAAACAGAGCTTGTACGTCACAGGTTTACATCTCAAGTTTATCCAGTCTCTCCGGATAGCAACCCCTAGCCTGTAGCTCTGAACTTGTGTTTGGCGGCTTGTCTGGATGCGATGCAAGTTACCAGTCAGGTAAGCTGACAAGGAGAAATATTCGTACGGTAGCACTAAGCAGCCGCGGGCCTTATGCTGCTCCCGAGCTAGACACATGGAATGTAGAGTGGAGCGACGGAGAGTGGGCTGATCTGTATCTTCAAGCAATGTAAGGATTGCAAGTTATATAGCCGTATTAAATGGTCTATAAGAGAGCCCACATAGGCCACGGCTTAAAGTCGAGTCGATTCAAGACCGAGACAACCGCGCGCGACTCTAGGCGCGAGTGACGCGATAACGTGCACTAAAAGCTTGAGCTAAGCTCGACTCAGCCCCTAGGCGGCAGCCTGTAGATAAGCACATTATAGTACCGGCTTCGAGCTTCAACCTTCGTCTGTCATGGATATTCGTATCCGACCAAGCTGGCACTGGTAATCCCTAGTAGTACATCCAAATTACAACTACTCGCGAACAGCCATATTATACACGTAGCTAGAGAACGATTACATTAATACCATACAAACAGACAAATCGTACAAGGACACATATATCAGTAGCGGATACATAAACGAGGTGACGGGTCTGAGGAGGAACCGCAACGTAACGGATGGGAATGATTACAGTGCCGTGAGAGCGATTCATCTTTACTGTATAACAGTCAAGAAAACATTCCTAGTATTGAACACGACCGGCTTCGGCCCATCATATTCTTCGTGTACTCCATCCAACTGGCCCCTCAAACTTACATTCTGTATCCGTTTGCACCTGAACCCCGCTGGATGTCACGAGCACCATTCAGAGCATTGTGAACAATATTCTTCGCCCTTGCAGTCACTGTGGACGCGTTAGCTTGGAAGACAGCGGCGAACTATGTCACACGTACGGTTCCGGCCTGCACGCGATCGAGCGTTCTGTTTCGGTCCCTCTACGTTTATAATCTGAGCGTGATTCGCAGGGTTCTGGCCCGCTGGTGGAGCTATTTGTCGGGTATGGAAACGCACTTCGAACATGATATCTCCATGGGTGTTGAAAACAGGGTTCGCAAGGTAGTAATTCTGCATTCCGGCGTATCCATATTTCCATAGGCCTTCGAATGCACTGAGTTCTGAGAGGATTTCCACGAAGTCAACGGTTTCTGGAAGCTCGCTCTGAAGACTGGCTTCAAGATCGACGAGCGTTTCGGATGTTACATCGCCGAAGAACGTAGGTTTCTGGATTTTTGGAGAAGGTGAGCCGGAGACTTTGACCTTCAGCCCATCCATGTTGGTCTGAACGCATATTTGGGCGTTCCAAGTTGCAGCAGATGTGGTACTGGGCGAATGCCATCATCAGGATCTACAGAGCCTCGCGAATAACGTGACTGCAGACTTACCTCCCAGATCGAGAACCAGATACAAATGATGTTTCCATTAGAACTTCTCCCCACACCTTTATGTCGAGTGATTTGATTCAGGACCCAGTAGGAAGCTCCACGAAGTTGCGCGTCAGACCTACAAGCCCACGATAAGGCCAACCCGATCGTGCGCAGTGAAAACACTTACAAGTCACAGTATACGTGCCGTTTGCGATGTTTCCGGCGCCCTCGTGTTCATACTTCCAAAAATCACGGTGCTGCCAGTGGTATTTCGAGAAGCCTTCTCGCTCGGCAGGAATGGACTGCCAGGTACATTTCTCTGTCTTCTTCCATGCATGCTTCGCCCAGGTTGTAAGGTCAAGCTTCCAAACACCGTTATGCACACCATAAAAGTTGGGGACGATGGTAGTGACGGAATTAACTTGAGAGAGGAGATGGAGCAGGCGTTGTTCCAAGAATGCCGCGCGCGATACACAAACTGTGCCATATGAGGTCCCTTTGGAGGCCCGAACAATCCAATCCGCAGAATACTCAAGCCGTTTGTAAGGCATGAGCTGGAATTGAGTCATTCCAAAAATGGCGATCACTGGTTCCTGGCTTGTAGATATAGTTGCCCAGTTTTGGCGGGTTATATTTAGCTTGGAATAAACTTGGAAATCAACGCTTGTGAGTGCGCATGAAGAGAAAGGGGAACCGGACGTCCAGACCGGGACAGTGTGGATTATGTGCATGCCCCAGCGTGCCAGATACGGAAGAAAGTGGCCCTTTAGATAATATATTGCAGCTTGCACCTTATCGATAGCACGATGGTTATGGTCCCGGAAGAGATCATTGAAACTTGAAAATTCATGCAAAAACTCGACATCTTGTGCATGTACGGATAATCAGCTGAGGAACGCAAGAAAGATTATGTAAGGAGATACATACGTTCGAAATCGAGGAATAGGTGAACAAGATGACGATCCGGACGGTCTCCGTGTTCTTCAAATACTGCCGATTGCGCGTGGTCGGCCAGCCAGCCCGCTTCAACGTTCAACTCGTGGTGGGCACATCTCTTGAGGTTGACTTCGAAGGCAAGGTGCCAATCATTGAATTCATATATCTCACTCCTGGATGAGGGAGAAGAATTGAGTGAAAACAGCGGCATATGAACAGTAGATATACGAACTCCGGCCAAGGCTGCCACTTCTTCAAAGCCTTCAGCCGACCACTCTCCATGTGGACCCAAAAGATTGCTCGATCATTGCTTAGGAGGCGGACTGTCAAGGGCGCGAACGCGGATGAAAAGAATTCATCGAGGTCCCACTGAGCGAAAGAAGGCCTGGACAGAGACCCTTTAAACCAATGCTTGGCCAGAACGTTGTTGATCGACGACTGCGAAATGGCCGAAATCTGATCGAATCCGAACATGTTACATCGAGTTACTCGTTCAAGCCAAGCTGAAGATCTCGTATTGGCTTTTTCCGAAGTCATAGTCCATGTTTCGGATTCTTCATCGTCATCGTTTTCTTCGCTGAGCTCATTCCAGAAAGGTAGCTTCCAGTTCTGCCAACGAGAATCATAGTTATAGATTATATGGAGATCGACACTCTCCAAAATGAGGGGATAGCTGCCCGTGAAAAAGTCCAGAAGGCGGACACAGTCAGCCGTGGCCGTTTCGTCGGAAACATCGACGCCGGGGAATGAACAACGAGGTTCGTATGGGCGTGCCGCTAGTGACGATTCATTCTCAGAACACATCATAGCTCTGCTAAAATTAACTGGGAAACGCACAGAGCAGGTCCAGCTTGCAACAAGTGATATATCCCTCCAAATCTGCTTCAAGGTCGACATTAGCCAGGATCGCAACCTTCCAGTCCTTGTATTGGCGGAGTGGTTCCCTGAAAAGCATCCTTGGACGGTACATACATGATGACATACATGAACTTACCCATTGAAGTCATCCGATTCATAAAATAGCACTTCCTCGAGCAAAAAACATAGAATTACCTCGCGCGAGCAGATAGCTATCACTTCTGGTGCTCCAAGACGTGCATGAAAGTGAGAATCGACGTCGCCATGGAGCGACCACAAACTGCGGTACTCTGCAAGAATGATAGACTTCCAGTCTTCCGTGACTCCACTCTGGTTACTGAGAAGCAAAGCAGATTTGAGCCAGACAGACGCAAGATAGGAATTGATCTTGTCGACGTTGATTCCGTGAACCTCACGAGCCTCTAAAGTCGTCGACCCTATGAGAGAGTAATCGATATTGAGACGGTAGCGATTGTCGTCGAAATCAGGGATAGAAAAAAGAACGTGATTTCCGGCCTGCTGGAGGAAGGACAGATAGTGCGACATATAATGGCTAAATGCATCTCTTCCGTTCATGGCTATAGGTGGTTCCACTGAGACCAATTGCGCATCTATCCAAAGACGTCTGTTAGCTTATCATTCAAGAAAGCGCATTCGTATATACGTACCGCTGAGGTTGAGAATAATGAGATTGATTAGGTTTTGTCCGCTTCCGATTTTCGAATCTTTTCCTTGCAAACCACGAACATTGAACTTTACGCGAAAGACAACCTCCACTTCGGAGAGATCTTGTTGACGATCCCTGAATATTACACCTCAATATGGTTATAGAAAGAAAGACAATCATCCATACCTTGTATGATAAGCTGTGCTGGGAGCATCGCTGTAATCCAGTCGATAGTATCCACTGGAGATTGTAAAGCACAAGACAACGTCATGGTTGCAGATGAACTCAAGCTGAGGCTGGCCGAATTTCGCATGAAACATGATGTTATTGCTTCGAACATTTTGATCAACGAAGGAGTACTGAGCAAGGGCATGAGAATACTCTGCAAATATTCAAGTTAGCATCTGACGATCAAATGACAGGTATACGCACGAGATATCTCTAAGGACTTGTCAGCTGGGTCATGGCTCTTGACACACTCGACCGCATTCTCATAGAGTGCAGTCAGCTGTGCGACCACGTAGTGCGAGGCTTGAGGGGCACAGTTTTCGCCTACACACATTCCGGGATACGATACGCTGTCGTGACCAGTAAGAAAAAGTAAGAAAAGCTTGCAGGAGGTAGTAGAAATGCACGAACAGAAAAAATTTGTGAGCGTTCGAGGGACGAAGACAGCGATGGGGGCTCACCTACAAAACCGAAGTCGGTCTTGATTTTATACACTCGTCTCCATGAGATCAGGATAGATACTGAGATGAACACGACCACCAATACTCGGAGTCGAGAAACATGCGTGGAGCTCATGTCCGACGACTGTACTGGTATATCATCTTCTTCTCAAGTGGGCATCAAATTCGGACGGCGAGCTCGAATGTGAAGTAAAACATCATTCATTGTGTCAAAAGAATCTATTGAAAGTAGCGGAGAAGGCCGAACAATACCAGAGATTCTGATGGGGTAGATGAGCCGAGTTAGTAGAAGCATATCGCACCGAGGTTCAGATACCCACAGCTTTCATAGCTGAACGAGTCAAAATCGGTACACGAAATTCCTCCAGGAGTGGTAGCATGACGAGAGAAAGTAGAGGCCGATTACTTCTGAAAGCTATGAGCCTAAGTTTGGAAGCTGGTAAGAAAACATTCCAGATCAGCCCATTTGCGTTTGACAGTTGCAGGGAATAGCACGGCAAGGGGGAAAAAAATGCGTGTCCCACGATGCCGCTACCAATGTGAGTCTTTATCATTCAGTTGAAGGCCAGTACCTGATGAATACACTGAGCGATGAACTTTCAATGACATCGATGTAAGTGCGATATTCTAAACCCACGCATCGTCATCATGTTTTGGGCCACCACGGGGTTTCGAAGCTCAGCTTTTGTAGCGCCCAGCATACATGAGGCCTGAGCATGTGTTATATCAGAATTGTTACGACCACGATGGTAAAGACAACAAGTGGCGTAGAGCTAGTGCCAATGAATGGCTTCCTCACACAGACCCCGAGCGCGAAAGGGTCCACATCATGGTAACAAGGTGGTGGACCAAAGAACGTTGTTTCTGGAGACAACGGAGAGAACTCACAATTTTATGCTCTTCACCAGCCCTCTACAGGAACTTGTAGTCCATGCCGAAGCACGGAAGAAAGAGCGAGAAGAGAATTTGTGGCTATACTGAGCGCTGTCGTTGAGCATTCACCAAAAGAACGTCCACAAGGCGCGTAGTTCGTGCAGACGAATGTCCTCGTTCGATGCACTCGATGTTCTCCTAAACGTACACAGCAAGGTGCGGTCATGCTACTAGTTCATGCGCACTTCTAGCTCACCTCACACCATAGCCGAAGAGATTGACATTTGCATACTTAGCGCGAGAAAAATGCTGGTCCATTCACCTGTCATCATTATCCCAGCATAGAAGATGATCCCCCCTCACACACCCAAGCGAGGGTACTTGTGGGGAGTCAAGAACCGTGAAATAAAGGTGCGAGGGTGGGGCCGAAGTGAGAGTATGTACTGATGATGATGAAAATCTATTCACAGCATCGCAGGCCACGAATTGGGATACGTCACGAGGTGCCAGATGTCAAGGAGCACTTATTTATTTGTCCGACTGGTGAGTTCAAGCTTAGGTGGTTATCTGGTTTGTAATGTAATGAAAGAAAAGTTCTCGCATGTCTAAACGCCACCAGACATACGTCCGTTAATCTTACATACCTAGTGTGACGATGGGTCAGCGCTCAGCGGCTGTGACTCACTAAATCCTTCATGGTATTTCCTGTATTTCTGTCATACAATCTACCGTACGGCTACACCCGCTCATCTACACTGCGGCCTGCGTACCATCAGTTTAATAAACTGACGCCTTTACAGGGATGGTGACATCTTCACTTCAAGAACGGGGTCTACCGTAATGCCTTCGCAAGATGGTCGAAGATCTCTTGTCTCGCCTATCACAAGCCAGCTCACTAATATGCAAGCCGAATTCAGCATCCCCCAAGGATAAGGTCGAACAGTGGTTGATGCACTATGAAACGTGAATCAGTTTGGTCATATGTGAGTACGAGTTAGTGATCACTGAGCGATGCAGATCCACTGTACTCATCTTAGAGAACGGCAAACCATATTTTCCCGTCCGATATCCTCTCGACAATCGCTGAAGGTAGACCAGGATCATGATTTCCTCAATAAGTACTTGAATACGGAAGTCGCTCGCCTTCAAGAAAGGATGACGAGGCCCGCTTAGTAGCCTATCAACTTACACACAGGCCCAATCGTCGATGCCCGCCAGCAAAACTCCGAATCATAGCTACCAGACATTCACAGACTGGTTGGACCGTGCAATGTCAAAGCTGATCGCGACAGTGACGTGACTGAGTGCTGATAAAGAAATCACCGATACAATAGCATACAGCTGATTTCAAACCGTAATCCGCGATTCAGTCTTGCCGTATAGGATACAAAACGTTATAGCGATGGACGCCTGTATTATCTCAAGAATTCGGGGCATGTTCTCTCCGGAATCCGGACCTAAAAAACGATGCTTGAAACCACAGGGTGAAGTCTTTCACCAAAGAACGTAAGCCCTACCGAATTTGAGCGGATGGGTTATAGGATGTATATTGAACACACTGAAGAGTGACACCGAGCGCGGATTTGACCAAAAACTCCGCGACCTCATAGCAATTCTCTAGACCGATGCGTTGCGCGGTCGCTAGGGGGTATAACTGGCCCCAGAACGAAGTCTGGTCGCGGCAGATGAGAGCGTAGAGCTTGATGAGGGAACAAACAAGCCGCCCAGAGACGACGGATGGGAGACCAATTTTTACAGCTGTCAGACAAGAAACTGTCTCGAAAGCCACGTGTGTGTGAATGAAAACATCAGGATGTAAAGGTCCGGACACCCCACAGACTGTCTGTGTCGTCAGAGATCAAGAGTGATGGGAGCTTACGAGCTATATTGAACACGAAGGGACCAAGTACAATCACCGTTTGCACTGACTCCGCTGATCTAGGACTATTGACCGAGCGAGTGGGTATATTCGCGAGGGAGCAGAGATAACGAGAGGTAAGTCTTGCATATGCCCTTTAGAGTTGGTCTCCTACGATATCGACACCGCACTCTATCGGCATCGCAGCGTATTAGAACTTCGCCGTAGATTCCTCCTTGGTTTACAGTTAGAATCAGTAGCTCATATATGAGGAGTGACCATTGGCGATCTCTGCCAAAAGCTGTAGCATATCAAGCAGACACCGCAAAGACAAGACTCTGGACCAGGTGTGAAACTTAGCAGCGAGTGTCGCAGTCTTGAACACAAAGGTAGTAGAAGACGATACTTTCCAAAGCGGAAATGCAGGGTTATCGCTTCGATATGAATGCCAGAAACAAGCTAGAAGTCTAATTGCAAGAAAGAGGCGGCCCACCTAGCGCAACTGGCCGCGTCATGGGAGAGGACCGGTGGGCCACGCCGGCCCGCTAGTTCTCTTCGAACCCAACGAACTCTCTCGGGACTCTCCCAAGTCCATCTTCCTCCGCGCCGCGCTCTCGCCCTTGTGTTTAGCCTATGCTTTCTCCAGTGTATATAATGCTGTTCAAAGACAATACTGGGCTCATACTCTGCTGTATCAGCAATGCAGCTTGAATTTGTCTGTCCACGAGAATGGTAAGTTTCTCGACATGAGCGAAGACTGTATCAGCTCCTCAACAAGCTCGAATGACACGATTGATCGAACGCAGGTAAGTCCTGGCTTACCGACACGATTTTAGCATGCTTGTCACCGGTCGGCAGCGTATTACACGGATATCGTATACTCAACGGTGTTAGCGGGCAATGAGTCGCCAAGGCCAGACGAACTTGTGCTTCTCCCGGTTATGATTCGCTACCTCAGCATCCTGCAGCCACCCCCACGCGCTCCTCGTGACACTGCGAGGAGCATTCTTTCAGCACATTTACAGCATCACATGTTCATGCCTCTGCGGACTATCCGGCCCCCAGCAGTGCCCCAGCCATGTCGTGGTCCAAGCTTCCAAGTCCCCAGTGACCAGCGTATACGTATATATAACATGCAGTTATTCACAATCGAGACGACGGTACTCAGGTCTCTCAGTTGTGCAACTCCCTAGGCAGGTTCCACGATGCTCCTGAAGCACGCGTTTCCCGCCCTCGCATATGCCACCTTCGCCGGTGCGTGGTCGACGTTTGTGGTCCCGCACACTGAAGGGGTGGACGACACGCTCGCTCTGATGGCTGCTGTTGAGAACTACACGTCCAACGCGTCCATCGTCTTTGCGTCCGGCACGACGTACAACGTGTGGTCGCCTATCACCTTTCCGCCGCTCACGAACGTCGAGGTCGTCGTCGGTGGTAATCTATCCTATCCGGAGAGCATCGAAACCGTGCAGAATTACGTTGCTGCTGCGGTGAGTGTACATCTGGCCGTTCGCCTGTCGTGAGCTAATGCCAGTGTGTGTAAAGAATTTTTCGGGCGCTTGGTGAGATAGTCGAATAGGTTGAGGTGTATGCGCCTGACCTTCGCACTAGGATCTCGTTCACAGGAGGAAATAATGTAACACTTCGTGGGAACACCGACCCCGACTGGGGCTGGGTTGATGGCCACGGACAGCAGGTACATATGTGGTATTCGTGGTTCGCTGCACCAGTATGTTGACCAAGTTGGAATTTCAGTGGTGGAACATTATGCAGCAGACGAACAGGCCGTACGGATGGTTATTTGGAAACATCACGAATGGCGTCATTCGTGACATGAAAATATACAAGGTCAGTTTCAACTGTGTGGCTCCTGTTCCCAGAGCGCAGCCGTCATTCATTTTACCTTCTGTGTAGCCTATAGCGTGGAACTTCCTGACCACTGGGTCCAACTACTTGCATATCTTCAACAACACGATCCTCGCCGGGTCGGACAACGCTGTGAGTCCGTATCAGCCTCTGTTTCCCACGCGTTTCTTACTCGTGATCTCAGTCCTTTCCTTTCAACACGTGTGTCTCGCTGCGTTCATGTCCTGTCTCGCCTTGTGACACGCATATAGTGATGGATTCTCCGCCGGGGGCACCAACTTGCTCTTCGAGCGCAATCACGTTGTAAACGGCGACGACTGTCTTACCGTCATCAACGGAGCGAAGAACATCACTTGGCGGTTTGTCTGATCCGTCCATGCAAGTAGCACACACTTGACTAACTGCTACATGGTCCGTGTATCTGGCCGATACAGAGACAGTTACTGCGAAGGATCGCATGGCCTTTCTGTTGGCTCCCTAGGTAAGGGTGGGCAGGACTCCTTGGTCGAGAATGTTTTGTTTGAGAACACGATAATGGTAAACCAGGTTTTTTCATACATCTTTCGGACTTCTAAGCTTCAATGATGCAGAACCGCACGCTGTACGCAGCGCGTTTCAAGAGCTGGACGGGCGGGAATGGGGCCGCGATCAAGTTGGTTTTACGCCATCCTATGTGGGCGTTTGCGGTGCTGACAAGGTTCTTACAGCGCGACATGGAGAAACATCGTATTCATCGACGTTATGTTCCCCATCTATGTGACGCAAAAGTACGTGCTTTCCTCTGCTTCTGTACGACATCTCATCTGACGCTGTACATGCTCGCAGCTATTGGGACCAAGATGTAAGCTCCTCGCCATGCAAGTACTCACCCACGTACTGACCAATCTCATCGCCCATTGCATTGCGTAGGTTGGTCCGCGTCCGAACTCGTCGAGCGTGAATGAGACGCATATTGAGAACTTTCTCTTTGAGAACTTCGTCGGTGTCATAAACGAGTGCGTCCTTTGATCCTACTGATCCTGTTACCTTCATGCTGACCACTATGACTCTGGTGCTGTCAGCACACCCGGGTATGTCGAAGGCTCATGCATCAGCGATCCGTGCTGGTACGTGCAGCGCTCTCGTCAAATCCGTGAATTTTACCTGATCCATTGTAGGTACTACGTCCCTGGCGCGACCGGGAAGGAAGTCGTCATCTTCGACCTGTACCCGAACACTGGTGCGTTCGCTCTGCGTCTGCTTCTCTCTCCAAGTTGATCTCGTGCGTAGCGACGAATATCGTCGCTAAGAATCTCTTCGCGCGCACACTGACAGGTGCACCTGTTGCGGCAATGTGTAATGTAACTACTGTGCGTCTTTGTTCCGTTCGAATTTTGACAAGGGTGGGTTGACTGATGCGTGAGCGGATGTGACAGGTCACAAGTGACGTCGGATTTGTGTGCTGGGATGGGCCGTACATCCCCACTTCAACGGGACTATAGTTCTCTAGGGATGTCGTCCCTGGGGTTCTCAGCGAATGGGGAAAAATGAGTGGCCATAAATGCATATTGTACAATTGATAGAACGCTTCAAATGTCGAGCATCAATCATGATGTCCACGATGACTTTCTTCAAGACAATCGAACTCTCAGCCGCGAAAGACGCAGTGCACACCTTGTGCCATGTTTCATCATCGTTCTTTTCCACACAGATACCGTAATGGAAAGAGTTGTCCTCCTTTGACCTACAAACTAAAACTATCAATTCTTCGTCAAATAGTACGGAGTCGCCCAGCCGGCTGCGCGGTACCCTTCGTGTCCCGACATTGGACAGAAGTTTGAGAATTTCGGATGCGATCGCAAAGGAATCATGGACGGACTTTAGGTTCGCTTTGGCAATTCTTCCACCTCGACCAACGACCTCCGTATACTCGACTCCACTTTGGACGTTTGAGAATGTGCCGAGTATACCGAGCTTGTCAGCGAAGGTCTCGATGTTGAGCCAGTCAGGAATAAGCTCTGCCCTAGCCTGCGGGTGCATGACTCCTTCCCTCGTAATCTTGGCTTTATATGACTCTTTGTGGGCGTTCCTTATATTGAACGTTTGTTGTAAGTCCAAAGTATCTCATCACATATCTAGTACACGAAAAATTAAGAAATAGAACCCAAATAGCGCAGGGCATCCTGCGCTCCCATTTCGAAATACTAAATGACACCATTCAGGCTGCGGAATCGCATCGTGCAACACCTCGTTGCGGATTGACCTCTGACATTACAAGAATAGGAGGTTCGTGAGGCTGAGGTTAGAGCGGCGAGGGACATACATAGAATGACTCACGGCCGCAAAGTTAACGGCTTTTTCGTGACGACTGTCTCCCTGAACCCGCTGCCGCCATCCTTGTCGCCAAAGAGCTCAACTTCATTCCAGAGATTCTTCCTGCCGCATACTGTTGCCTTTCTCTTACGTACCCACACACGATTGGAGTCGCTGTCGAAAGGGCGATATCGGAGTCTTTTTCTTAAACTCATATGTGCATGCGCAATCCAACCGTGCGTGGCTAGTTCATCATTCGTAACACAAGGCATCAAAATGGTGAGCTCTCCGCTCGAGAAAGCGCATTCATTTCGTCCGACCATAACAATACAGTTCTACCAATACCTAGGTACATCCAAATCGCGAACACCACCCATCTTCATAATCTATTCAAGCTCATCTAAGTACATACCCCCGCGACGGTGAAAGAGGAAGCCGCCCGCTTTCCCGACATCGCTACCGACATCGTTTCGGTTGATGGCTTCATTGCTATCGCTGAGTGGCGTTGCCGTTCGGTAGGGGGTTTTGGTACTGAAACGCACAGGCTGGCGCAGAGGAACTGAGGTGGCGTCAGGGAGAGGTCTGTTAATGACCGGTGAAGTACGGCCCATGGGGTCGTACCCGCGTCTGAGGATGCTGGAGAGTAAGCCCTCTCCGAATTCTCCGACGCCGCTCCCGACGCTCTTCCAGTTGATCGCCTCGCTGCTTTCAGGGTCCATCGCGGTCGCCTTACGAGCCATAAGCCATGTCTCGAGTTCACGGGCGGCGAGACGGTCCTCGCGCTTGAGAGAGTGCGCGAGGCAGCTGCCGGGGGTCTCGGTAGCGTGTGCTACGGATTTCCAGCTGAGAGCCTCATTGCCATCCATCTCGCCACGCGCAAGGAGAATGCGCTGGACCTCGCGCGCGAGGAGTGGGTGTCCCTCCCGGAGGTTGTGCACGAGACATTTACCGATCTTCCCGGTCATTTTTCCAACCGAGCTCCAGTTGGTTGCCTCGCTTCCCTTGGCGGGAGCGGCGCGGTTCATGAAGTCATAGTCCCGCTGAACAAGATCGTATCCGGAGGGATATACAGGGCGGGCGAGAGCGAGCGCGGCAGCGAGAGCAGCGAGAATAATTGAGGCAGCGAAGGAAGAACGCATGTCTGTGATTGATGAGTAATTGGAGTAGTGTATGTCTCGTGAAAGAATGTGTAGAACGTGAAGGGTATTGTCGTTATAGATCGAAAGCCGGACGGTCTTAAGAATGAAATACGAATGAAAGAATAGAACAAGGCTAACAGAGCATTATTATTTGAAAAATAAGAAAGGGAAGCTCGGAAGCGTACCGGCCAGCACCTTTACTTAACAGTCCTGAGCTCGAAAAGAAGAAAGGAAGCGGAGAGCTGGGGATTGAAGGTGTAAGGAGGAGCCTTTTATATGTCCTCGAAGGTGTGGCAGAGTCGAATTAAGGTGGAAATAGCGCCTGGGTGTGATTGATGTCAGGACCGATTCCTGTGTCATGTCAGAAGCAGTGGCGCCTTTGCGCAAATGAAGATGACATCTAGAAGATGCAAGAGCAGCATGCAACTTGTGAGAGATGAAGCGCATATCCAATCTACAGCAGTCAGAATTAGACGCATGAACGGAACGCTGAGGAGGTCGACGGGTACACTATGGCCTACGCACCTAAAATGAGCCTCAAGAAAGCAGCAGCGCAAGGCGCGATGAGTATCGAGAATATCTTCGCACATGAGGTGGGATCTGGTCATCGTGATGTTGAAATGCGTAGGTGTTGGTGCATTGCCATGTCCAGAGAATCAAGATTGTAGCGGTTCAGGCCAGAACGCTGACACTATGGGCATTCATTTATGCTGCTTTGATGCCTTCGATACAATGGGCATGCGCCACACTGCGATTGAACATTAACCCTGACGATGGAGTCCTTTGCGCGCGCCAAATACGCGATGATCAGGGCGTCAAAGCTGGGCGACCGGACTGGACGTCGTCACGACCGTTTTGACAGCGTTGGTCGAACTCGGGGTGTGCTTCAAAACCATACGGACTCTCGTGAATAAAGATGCCGGATCTAGAAGCAGATCAACGCCGAAGTACACAGCGTTGAGGATGAGATTTGAGAACAAAGTGAGCACATGACCTGTTCGACATCATTGCAGTTGATTTCGTCAATTCGAGACGGAAACGTATGGCAGGGTAATCGAACACACTGACGTAGTGTAGGTTTCGGGCATAACGATAGATGGTGTATAATTCATCAAACATTTCATGTGCCAGTAGGCATGGTCGCAGTGCCTCGAGAGCATGTTGTAGGCGCATAGTAGGGTACAACCTCCGAGTCACATCTCTGATCTACTAGAGGCACTCATCTCCTGGAGGCCGTACAGACGTGAGCTAGAACAGAAGATGGTTACTAGAGCAGGCCAGAAAATAGATTGACTCACTGCCTCTCAGGTCGAGTATCAAGCAAAAAAAGGAGGAAAACCAGTGAAGGGCGCTAGACTAGCCATTATAATTCCCTTCCTCGGGCACCAAGGGTGAGACATAACTGAATAACAACAAGGGCCGAGAGTGCATGAAATCCGATAATAGCAGGAGGGAGGAGGAGGCCCCGGCGTGCACCAATACACATAGATAATTGCGACGCGCGACAACTAATGTAGCATATTCGATCTCCACCGCCGACCCGAACGGCTCGTTCCGAGTCTACGGGAGGTCGCAGCGACGACCTCAGACTTCCTTTACATGATAAGTAGTGGGACTTCAGCTACTTCAAGAGTGTCTTATCGAATGTTGGCATTTGATACTGAATCACGAATCTTCAGACGACCCTCCTCCTAAAATTTGTTCGGGGACTTCGAATTGTGTGGGCCCACAATTGTGCATGATCGCGGCCTACGAGGAAGACATAATGCTGGGAGATGTCCATGGTGATTCAAAGACTCATAGTTGAAACTTGTATGTGCATATGTTCAATATGTCAAGTTCAAGCTTCAATTAGACATTTGCAATATTCTTATTGTTTTACGTTGATTTGTGTGGGTCTGTCAGCGAGCTCATGCCATTACTGCGTATGCATTTTCCCAACGCGAGTAATACCACCTGGCATCGTCTTCTGGGCCTGGAAGAGGTGGGATTTTTCATTTTGACATCTTTTCTCTGTGATTCGCACCACCATCGTCCCTTTTCTCTAACAGATTTTCAATTTAGAAATAACCTTCCTAATTTTTGAGAATATGATTCACCGTCTACCTGCACGAGTGTCCGCCAACTCTCATCGCTGCGACGCTTCCTCAATCATCACAACGGGACTACGACACGGTACTAATCATTTCACTTGTATGCATAATTGAACATATCTCACTTGTTCTTCACAGAGGCCCTGCTCATTCTAACATTTATGCTATACTGAGAATGATGGAAATTGGCATAATCGAGGAGAACGTCAAGTCACTGCATTAAAGAGATCCTCTAAACAGTCTCCGTCTGATGTTGTTTGGGGAGATCTCGTCGCTGCTTTCGTTGTCTCAGAACTTCCTGCTCGACACTATCTTGGGGAATATAAGGCAAAGAATCCTCCAAATTGTCGATCAAGCGCTTGATACATTACAATGAATTCTTGTGTAGAAATTCTGGGCCAACGTACCATCAACGAGCATATCGGAATCTGCTCGCATCTACGGAGCAATGCTGGCGAATTTTCGCATGCGCACACTGAATAGCTTCCAGAGTTCCAGACTTGTGCACGAGACTCTCGATGGAGGCCCCTGTATGTGAGTACCGAACGCAATATAGGCCGGTAGCTTACTGACAACACTTGTGGGTCCATGAGCTCTGACGTGCAACGTGTACTAAACGCACCTTGCCGCGTAGGGTACACGGTGCTACATCCATAGGATGGCAGTTGATTCTGGTAGACGGCCTACCGTAACGCGAAGAACGGTTGCGCAGTTTCTCGGGTCAGCGTAAACCTTATATCTAATCGCCGTCTTGTCGCGTCCCCCTCATCCTCATCCCTCCCACGACGTAGTGCAACATGACGCAGCGACAGCAAAATGTCTGCAAGAACTTCTCATCTCCATCTGGATGTCGATTCGGCCATCGTTGTCTTTTTTTACATGATTTAGCTAGCCAGGCCGTGTCATCTAGCCAATCACCTTTTCAAGTTGTATCATCAAAATCGCAGCCGTCCCCAAGGCTCGAAACCGCTTTTGGTACCTCTCAGCGCACATGCAGATATTTCTCGACCACAGGAACCTGTACCCGGGGATCCGGATGTGCTTTCCAGCACGAGCAGGGGCCGGGCCTGACTGAACAGCGTGAAGGACTGGAGGACTCTATTCTTCAACCACACAAACAACCGTGTCATAAACTTCTCTCTCCAGCAGGATGTCCGTTTGGCGATCGTTGCCGGTACTCGCATAATTTGGACTCTGGGTCAACAAACGCGCCATTCTCTCAAAATTCCTCCATAGCATCTGAGCTATTCTCGAGACCAGCGACTTCCTCCGGTACCGCTCATCGTGTATGCAAATTCTTTTCTACTTCGGGCACTTGTTCAAGGGGCTTCACGTGCGCTTTCAAGCACGAACAGCAGGAAGCGGCTATCGCACACCAGCGATTGAGATCGGAGTACGACGGTTCTGTTCGGGACGAACGTCATGCTTTAACACCAAACGAAGTCCATTCTCGTATCAAGACCTTCCTGATAGACAATTTCGAATTCAGGTCTGCAGCACAAGCTCAAGCCTTCGTTCGTATCATCTCCAGTATTGATGACGAGAATAAAGCCTGGGTATGTCGTATCAGGAAGCTTTTTATGTACAGTATTAACTCACGGTCTCTTGTGTCGCAGAGCGCGGATAAAGCTCAGGTTTGTTGCTGCATTTCTGTTACGAACAGTGAAAATGCTTATACTTTTTCTTGACAGGCCTTTCTCGACATGATTGTCAAAGTACGTGTCGTCGATCATCCTGGCTTAGAATAATGACAATGTATCTCTTTTATCTAGTCTGATGGTATACTGCGGATTGGAGACGTGTTCCGGTTCGATCGAGTTGACACTGCGGTCGGTACCACTAGGACTATTCTGTCGTTTCAAAACGGATATTTCCCAATATTGAAGGTATGTTTTTCGATTAATAGAGCCCCACCAACATACATAGCCCTCGTAGTATTTTGCGTCGAACCTGGTCTTGAGGAACACGCTGCATAGGAACACCAAGTGCGTGTTGTCATTGCTGATGATTTCTCTCTAAAATTATTTTCAAGCCGTCTTTATGCCGTTCTTGACACCAACTACGACTCCGTCCATTCCGTGAATGAAAATTCCATTTCGAAACTTATTGAAGCCAAATCTTGGAAAGACCAAACGTCAGGCCATGTGCAGCCTATGCAAATCGTTCTTGATGGTGTGGTCGTCTTCAAGACGCTCTCAACCGTTCTACATCAGTGAGTATTCTCACCTATGATACGTTATCGGCTGAGTATAGCCCTTCTTCGTGATATAGGTTTTTGAATCGGTTCAAAAACGCAGTGCGCTCTCACCCAGGTGTTGCCAAACTCGTGATAAAATTAGTCGCTTGGTTCGATATCTGGACATCCGATGTTTCAGCGACCCCATCTCGATTCATGGATCCTATATGCGCGTTTCCGCAGAGCTCGCGTGACGTAACCATACGCAACCTGCAAGAGGATATTCGCCGCTTGCATGCCATTGTTCAACGCAAATCTGAAGCCGCTGGGGTGCTCCGACGCCCTGCAGTTATGGGCACTCTCACGTTGAGGGAAAGGAGACAAGCAATCTCGTTGCAGCTCGCTCAAACCCACGATCTGCCGGGAGATTTACACGACGAAGGGCCACGACACGCCAATGATCATGTCAACATTGGTGACATCCGTATTGTCCCTACTCATGAAGAACTCCTATGCTGCACTGCTCCATACTTACCGGTTTTCCACCAAGATGCGCCGCATCATCTACCTTCGAATTCCATGGACAAACACATAGATATTCTTTTTCGACTATCTCGCGAGGAATTGACGTACGCCTATACTTCCCCTCATGGCCACCAAATAACCATATTTTTGTAGCGCGTTGATCAGGTCCTCTCTTTTGGCTATTCATAGAGATCTCACGGAAATATGGAAAAGATCAAGCAGCCAAAAAGGAGGGACACAACTTGAAGAATTGCTGTCCAGCGGTGGAGGAGCCTATAGGACGCCTGCCCCTGATTCCATCTACTTCCAAGTGTACACTGGAGTACGCTTCTCGCCCGTTCGTGCTGAAAGACACGGCGTCACTGTCGGGTTGACTATTGATACTCCGGCACGTTGTGGAGCTCGAGATCCAGATGCAACCAGGCGCTACGAATTCTGGGAAAGCAGCAAACGACTTCAAACTGGATGTCTAGTCACGCTGGTTGTTGTTTCCAACGGTACTCTGAAAGTGTATCTTGGGGTTGTCGCTTCATACAGCGAAGAGATTGCTGAATCGTCAAGTGAAAATCCAAACGAGGTTCATGTCGGAGTATCCTTCTTTGACTCGGAGGTCGAGTTGATGGCCCTTCGACGCGAAAGCCTCTCAACGAATAGATCAACGTTTGCTATTCTCATCGATAGTAACGTCATGTATGAAGCAACTCGGCACGTCCTTGAGAAGCTACAAACGACTGAGCCACTGGACATCCCCTTCTCGCAGTATATTGCGAACAATGGGTCACTGAGAGGTGTTGACCTGCGTCCTCCTAGATATGCAACTGCTCCGGGATTTAAATTTGATCTCGACTGTCTCAATTATGACTCGGAGTTACGACACGAAGAATCTATCGAGTCTCTTGATATAACCCAAGCTGGAGCTATCGAGCTGGCCCGCCAGCAGCTTTCCCGTTTGAGCAAGCTAGACCCTAGCCAAATCGATGCGCTTCTGAACACATTGACTCGAGAAGTATCTCTAATACAAGGGTGAGTACGCGCTTTACTTTTTGCCCCTCCGAGCTGATTTGCGTCGGTCAAGACCGCCTGGTACCGGTAAGGTAAGCAAGTGCATATCCATGCATTACGCTATATTTAATGTCGCATTATGCAGAGCTTTACTGCCAAAGAGATCCTGCGCGTCCTCTTCGCGAGTGGCATCAAACCCATCGGTACGTCGTCGTAATTTGCAGATCAGTTCATCGATATCATTATGATAAATGCACCTAGTGCTGATTTCATTCACGAACCACGCGCTCGATCACTTGTTAGCTTCTGTCCTGGACGCAGAAATCACCCGCAAAATAGTGCGGCTCGGCTCGCGATCTTCGGATCCGCGTGTTATGGGGTTCACACTAAACAATTTGGAGAACGTTGACGATGATATCCTAATCTTTGACAACTCTATAAATCGACAATACGCCATTATGAAGACTCTCGAAGCGGAATTGAATGCAATGATTCCGGAAACTGCTCAGCCGCAAGGCCTCTCTTGGCAAGAGATTGCAGATTTTTTAGACTGCCATTATCCTGAACATCACGAGAGTATTTTGTATCCTCCATTCTGGATCAGTGGACTTTTCAATAGGGCTCTAGAAGACGAAAAGACCAATGGCAAATGGATTACTGTCGGCCAAGAGAAGTCTGGCACTAGTTTATCGCATACTCTTTATGGCTTCTGGCGCGATGGTGGTGATATACAGTTTTTAAAGTCGGCTGATTTGCAACTCCCAGACATCTGGAAGTTGTTCACATCTTTTGGGAATGGCGAAAGTCTACCTACTCTGCCCACTTTATCCCGCCCAACTGAAGATCTCTTGCAAATGAATTCTGTGTGGTCGATGTCGGTGGACGAAAGGGGCCGCCTATCAAGGGAATGGGAGCAGAGAATCCAAACAATGGCACACGCGTCATTCATAGAACGCTACGAGCAGCTTCGTGAAGACTACAGAGAGGCTTGCGAAAGCTACCGTGATATTGTAGATGAGGTATGGGTCATGTTATATCATTGTACTACTCTGAGACTGAATCTATATTCCACCCGGTAGACTCGTCGCCGCCGTCTTTGCCAGGCAGACCTTATTGGATGCACCACCAGCGGTAAGCTTAAACTATAGTGCATTTACCATTTATTGCTCAATGCCGCCGCCATAGGTGCGGCCAAATTGACGTCGCTATTGAGCGTAGGTATTTTCTCGTCGTAGGTTGGAATTTCTATAACAGGTTTTGTGCAGAGTATTGCGCCCCGAGTATTGATGGTAGAAGAGGCAGGACAGGTCCTTGAGGCCCATGTGCTTGCATCTCTTGTTCCGTCAGGTATGGTGCACCCCTGTGTCCTCCAGTAAAGTGTTTCTGAATCCCGCACAGTGGAACATCTAATCTGCATCGGAGATCCTAAACAGCTTCGTCCGACTCTCACAAATTTTGGTAAGACCTTTGTCTCAATCCTTTTACGTGCATCTTATGTGTTCCAGCGCTTTCCATGGACAGCGAAAGCGGAAAGCAGCTATACAAATTTGACAGGTCCATGATGGAGCGGCTGGCGGATAATGAACTGCCCATGTCACAGATCAATGTACAGCGGAGGATGCGACCCTCTATTTCGCACATTATCAGGTATGCAGTATATCGTATAAGGATTTAACTGTTGATGCTGGGTCATAGGCATATTCTCTATCCAAAGCTGGAGGACAACGAGCTTGTATTCACTTACCCACCAGTAGTAGGCATGCAGAAGGACGTGTTTTTCTTCGATCATACTCACAAAGAGAATGATTCCAATGACTCTGTATCCAAATCCAACGACTTCGAGGTTTGTTTATTTCTACCATATGACGGCGTCTTAGAGCTATCTGATCTGAAAAATACACTCATAGGTCAAAGTCGTTGTGGATCTCGTTTTGTACCTCCTACAGCAAGGAGCTTAAAACGATCCAGGAGATATAGCGGTTCTATGCGCTTACCTCGGCCAGCTGCAAAAGGTTCGCGCTGCTCTTCGTGAGCTCAAGATAGCGGCTTCTGTAGATGAGAGGGATCAAGAGCGACTCGCGCATCAAGGAATCTATGAAGAACCTCAATTTGAAGAAGTATCCGTTATCAGACATGTAAATTAATCTTTGTCCACTAAATCAGGATGTTTGAC